ACCGGGATCAATTCCAATACAAGGTTTTGTGGATGCAAATTTGTCGGTGATCTTGATAGAGGTAGGTCGACTATCGTATTTGTTTTTCGGTTTGCAAATAGACCTGTTAGTTAGATATCAAGGCTTAAAGACACGATAGCATTGTCAACTACCGAGGCTGAGTACTTGGCGGCAATGGAAGCATCAAAAGAAGTCGTGTGGCTTCAAGCGTTGATAGGTGAGAACGGCATTATGTGCAAGCCCATGGAACTATTTTGTGATAATATGAGTACTATCCATTTGGCCAAGAACCCAGTTCACTACAAGAGGTCAATGCACATATTGGTCCAATATCATTATATCCGTTAAGTTGTTGAAAATGGAAGAGTTCGATTGCGAAGACAACCCTGCGGCTATGCTTACGAAATCCATCCAAGTAGAGAAGTTAGATTGGAGCCTAACCTCTCTAGGTTTTAAGAAAGGAAAGAAGTGATGGATTGGCAAGGCAAGGGTGTGATTTCGCATCAAGGTGGATATTGTTGGGGCATGATGCTAAATCACCCCCATGTGGCATTTTCCCTCTTTATGAGGGCAAATTTTGCCTTTTGGTTGAGACCCTTTAAAAGTAGTTATAAAGAGAGAAAGAGTCGCGCGCGCGGATGAGTTGAGAAGTAAAAGGAGGTGCACGAGCGTGAAGAAGAAAGAAGCACGCGAGAGAGAAAGAAGGTGTGTGGGTGTGAGCATGAAAAAGGTGTGCAGGCGCGAGATTAAAAGGGATATAAAAGAAAAGAAGACGTGAGAAAGAACAGTGAGGTTTTGCAGAGAAAATAGTGAGAGAAATTTGGGGGTTTTACTGTGAAACCCTAGCGCCACCATTGAGGCTCATCTTAAGCCATTTTGTCGCCATTTCTTCACGGCTGCAGTGAATCGAAGAAAGGGATAGACTGTAGGTGGTTTTATAGTAAGAAGTTCTTTGTTTGAGCATTCCTTAAGATTGTATGAGGTAATTGTGTATAACCCCAATCCTGTAATTTTTCCTCTTAATAGTCAATATATCTTTGTCGTCTTGCCCGTGGACGTATCCCATCTTGGGTGAACCACGCATATGTGCGTGTCCATCTCTATTTTCATTTGTGTTGTACTTGGATGATTTCCTATATTGTTTGATATATTGTTCTTATATTTTTTCCAATTATAGTGCACTTGTTATTGCATCTTGGGCATTTTATTTGAGTGCTGAAATCAATGTGGTGTAGTGCTCGCTACATCTAGTGGTTTTTGAGATATCTCGAGTTGCTTAAAAGGGGTGATTGGGTTATCCCGATTTATCAACAGAAAGGCTTCCCCTTTGAGAGAAGAGAGCTTCCTATGGAGAGAAACACCACAATGCACCTTATATAGATTGACAGGCTGGTTTCTTGTAGAGAAGCGGTTGTCATGAAGATTTTTGGTGGTTTCTCTTTTTAGTGAGAGAAAATCTCAGTTGCTCTCAAGGGTATATTCCTAGACAGCGGTTTAGCTGTGGAATAAAGGTCTCTTCCTAGACAGTAGTTTAGCTATATAATAGAGATGAGAGATCAGCATGATCGAGAGAGTGGGTCTCAAAAGGTATGAAGATTTTTAGTGGTTTCCCCTTTTAGTGAGATAAAGTCTCGGTTGCTCTCAAAGGTCTATTCCTAAATGTCAGTTTAGTTGTGGAATCGAAATGGGTCTCTTCCTAGATAGTGGTTGGTTTAACTGTGGAATAGAGATGAGTCTTTTCTTGGATAATGGTTTAATTGTGAAATAGAGATAAGAGATCAGCGTGATCAGGAGAGCGGGTCTAAAAGTGTTTACTCGTCTAGGTTTTGTCGAGGGTTAGAGAGGCAACTCTATGTCCCAAAATCTATTATGTAATTTTCATTGGTATAGAGAATTTCAATTTAGTCATGCCCGTGGATGTCGCTCTCTTGGGGTGAAACACATAAATCTTTGTGTTCTTGTGATGTGTGTGTTCCATGCTTTATTTTTTATATGCTCTACCTTGGTATGGTGAACATGTGATTTTCATATCAAGGTGGAGCTTGTTGGATATGGTGATATCCAAAAATCACCAACATAAGGAAAACTTATATTATGTGGGATTGGGATTGATATCGATAGGTTTCTTAAAGGAAATAGAGATCCAAAAAGATTAGGACTCTAGGATATATCTCTTGGTTCTTACGATATATATAATATCCTTATGAAATTTTCTACTTATGGTAGACTCATAACCTTACATATATGGGATGAAAGATGAAAATCTTTGCAAGCCCTAACTATATGGGAAAAGTGGTTTCCTTTAAGGTATAGCCTCCTCTGCATCAGAGGCAATGCTTCCCCTTAGATAAAAGAGAACTTTCTCTGGAGAGAAATATTACAATGTGCCTCCTGTTGATTGATAGACAGATTTCTTGTAGAGAAGTTGTTTGTTGTATATCATTTTTAACGTACTTACATATTTGGTACAAATAAGAAGAGTGCCAGTGATGATTTGGTCCTGCTAGTACCCAAGACACAGCTAGACACAGGGAACACAACCTTGGAAAAAAGTATTATCATGCCAAAAAGAGACGTTACAACTATAGCTCTATGCTAGGGCCTTCCAAAAGGTACCAGACCACTGCCATTGCATCCAAAACATTGAAAAACCCATAGGGACCAAATTTGGGCTCAATCGGGCCTCACAAGAACATTCTGAGCCTAAATTACCACAAAACGAATAGATCGTACACTATTGCGGTGTGTGTCACGCCCCCAGAATTTACAATACTGATATTCCTGAGATGCGACAGTCCAAACATATATACATCTCTTGATAGGACAAATTTACGGTGGCGAATTCTTACAAAGTAACAAATGAAAGTTTAAGCACAGCTACAATATCTTCCCAAAGTTGATCCTGACGAGCACTCAAAATGAAACCTCTGTTATCCTGAAAAATATTTACCATAGTTTGATGAGTTTGGCTACTTAGTAAGTGATCATCATAATCCTAAAAATAATCATGATTGAAAGATATCAATATTTTCAAAAAAGAGATCTATTAACAGAAATGCATTAACAGTTTCACTTTAAAAAATACATAATTAAGTATAATCCGAATAATTGAAATGCATATAGCATTTTAATGGAACTGCCTAATTCAAAGGATTTCACAAATTACCTTACTGGCATCCCAAGTAGGTTACCTATATACCCCATCAGCGTCCTGATGGATCCACTTAATCCCTATCGGCATCCCAGATAGGCCCATTTAATCCCTGCAGGTTCACTTATACCTCACCGGCGTACCGGATGAGTCCACTTAATCCCTACTGGAGTACCCGATAGGTCCACTTATGTCTCACCGGCGAACCGGATGAGTCCACTTGTATACTTAAAGTATTTCTAAATCTCTTTAAACATTCGAAAGCAACAATATCATGTACTCAACATATCACTGAAATTATTAATATGAATTTCACTGAACCATTAGTAACAGTCACTTTCAATAACATTTCAAAAATAACCAGTCAAATATTTTGGGCTCAATTTAGAAAGGTCGTTATTCGTAAAGACATTCTAGCATAATTGCCAATCTAGTATGTATTGAAAAACTCTTATAGAAATTCAGGAATACGGAATTATCACAATTTATGGGATGTTAATTCACAAATAAACATTTCACAGACAATGCTATAATCAATTGCAAAAATATCAGTTTTCAAATAATAAGGCAGTCATTTGCACATGAAATTTACAATGTTTAAATATAAAAAAAAAACAGTAGAAAGAAATCTCACAAGTTTACTAAAAGCAGAAATATCACATTTATTTTTAATAATTTTACAGTATCTAAAATTTTCTAACAATAAACAAAAAAAATAAATAAATTTATTTTTCTAAGAATTTACAGTATTTAAAATTTCTAACATAGATAAAATATCACAATTTTATTAAAAAGATTATTTTTTCAAAATAATGAGGTCGCTTGTGCATAAAATTTATCGCGCCTAAAATTCATGATAATAAGCAGAAGTAATTATTTCATTTTATTTTTAAAAAGAACAGATTATTTTTCAAGATAATGAAGTCACTTACCTAAAATATTTGAGAGGGAGCTTTCGATAAAAATTCGGGTAGAGATAGAAAATTCGGGTAGAGATAGAAAAAGCTCACTGCGTTTCGACTAGAAAGAGAAAGATCTCAAAAATTTTCTAGGGTGGGAGTCCTCGCCTCTCTTATTTCAATTCTTAAGATACCTTATTATATTATCTTATTAAGTTACACCTCATACATGAGGTGTAACAACTATATTACACCTGAACGTTTCAAGCCCATGTCCACTAAAGAACGTGACAATGCAGCAAAAACTTTAAACCAAAAGCTTTTGAAAGTAGTGATGGTCCTTAAAGACCATCATGCTCATATGGACCATCACTTATTAAAAGTTTTTTTTTTTTTATTTGAAATTTTAAGATTATTACAGTGTATCATCATGGAACCAGTCTTCAATCATGGAGGTTGCATTCTTCACATCTCATGATGTACTTACAAACACCCTCACGTCACTCGTTTGAAATAGAAACAATCTCAACTTCGGACACAAGCTGGGTCTCAACCTTAAAAGCTAGGTTGTAAGGAAACCCAAGTAGGATGAGTTGGAAATTACTCTCAAAAATAAAAAAATAATAATATCATATTAAAAGTCAACGATCTCATTGAACACAGTTGTCTAATTATGCAAAAAGAATTGAATCTCGTCTTAAAAAGTACAAGATAAATTATTCTTAAGGTTCAAATCTTTTTCCTAAATGCCGAATAAATAGTACTTTTAGTTGCCAAAAAAAAAAAATATTTCCTCAATTAAAATTCACGGTGTTTAGCGGCACATTACGGAAATACATTATCCAGTTTTTTAAAGTTTCTCTACAAATTTATTACTTATCGATGGTTCCTATTTACTCAATAACTCCTATTTCTAGACCCTCAACAGTCCCCCAAGACCAAAACACAGAGAAGAGAAACAGAGAGAGGATCCCCCAAGACCAAAACACAGACAAGAGAAGCAGAGAGAGAGGAACATCAAATTTCACCCAAAAGAGAGAATGAACGTAGAGTGAGAAAGAAAATAAAATACATTCGAAATCTCCCTTGGTCTATGTATATATAAATACGCCCACCGACTCACTTCGAACCTCACCACCTAACTCCAAGAGAGAGAAATGGCAACTCAGTTAGTCTTCTTTCCAAGCCCAGGAGTGGGGCACTTGGTGTCGATGGTGGAGTTGGCGAAGCGCCTCCTCCACCATAACCCCACCGCCTTCTCCATCACAATGCTCACCATCGAATCCCCCTTTGGCGCTGCCACCGCTGCCGCCTACATGGCCAAAGTCTCTGCCTCCGCACCCCCGGCTCTCCAATTCCTCCCACTCCCACCTCCCCTGAACTTCTCCGTATCCCCTGAAACCAGAGGCGAAACGCTCATCAGCCTTTTCATCGGCGCCCACAAACAATCGGTTGCTGAAGCCCTGAAATCGCTCTCCCCTGTTCGAGCCTTCATCATTGATCTCTTCTGCACCACCTTTCTTGAAACCGCAGCTGAAGCCGGTGTTCCGGCGTACATCTTCTTCACTTCTGGCGCTTCACTTCTTTCTCTAATGCTCTATCTCCCTACACTTCATGACCAAATTACATCAGAATTTAGGGATTTGAAAGAGCCGGTGGCGATCCCCGGCATGACCCCGTTGCCACCACTCGACATGCCCATGCCAGTCATGGACAAGACCAATGACGCATACACCTGGTTCTTGTACCACTCCCGCCGCCTCCGGGAGGTCGAGGGAATTCTTGTGAACACCTTTGAAGAATTCGAGCCTCAACCCCTCAAGGCCATACGCGATGGTCAGTGCCTGCCTGACCACCCCACGCCCCCAGTCTACGCTGTCGGCCCACTCCTCAACCTTGATGAACAGCAGCCCCCTGCTAGCGAACCTCACGAGTGCTTAAAATGGCTCGGCACCCAGCCAGACGGCTCGGTCCTGTTTCTGTGTTTTGGGAGCTGGGGCGCCTTTGAACCAGCCCAGGCCAAGGAGATCGCTCTCGGGATCGAGCAAAGCGGTCATCGTTTCCTGTGGTCTCTGCGAGGTCGGCCAAAGGAAAAATTCTCAGGCCCAACCGATACAGACTTGGACGTGCTGCTGCCAGAGGGGTTCATAGACCGGACGAGGGAGCGCGGGATGGTGTGGCCGACATGGGTGCCGCAGGTGGCGGTGCTCGCACACCCTGCAGTCGGTGGGTTCGTGTCGCACTGTGGCTGGAACTCGATTCTGGAGAGTGTGTGGCATGGCGTGCCAATCGTGGCCTTTCCCCTGTACGCCGAGCAGAGGCTGAACGCATGGGAGCTGGTGAAGGACGTGGGCGTGGGCGTGGGCGTGGGCGTGGGCGTGGGAGTGGGCGTGGGCGTGGACGTGGGCGTGGGCGTAGGCAGCGGTTTGGTGAAGGCAGAGGAGCTGGAGAAGGCAGTGCAGCGGTTAATGGAGGCGGAGGAGGGGCAGAGATTGACGCGGCGTGTGAAGGAATTGAGGGAGGTGGCGAGGAAGGTGGTGGAAGAAGGGGGCCCGTCCTATTCCGCTCTAGCAACGGTGGCCGGCAAATGGGTTCAAGAGAAGTGAATGGTCTTCGTCGTCGCCCTTGCGTAGCTCGATTGCTTTTTTTTTGTTTCTTGTGTCTAAGTGTTTTTTTTTGTTTAGTGTTTAAGTTCATGTACGAAAGTGGACAGTAATGTAGTTCTATTAAGTGTTTGTATTATTGAACTAACTCTATCTTGCCCTTTATTCCTCATTTCTTCTCTTCCCTGCTCTCTCTTTCCAACCCAGAGCTCCTCTCCGTGGAGCACCCATTGAAGCACCACATCCACAGATATGTGGCGGTGCTACACCACTGCTCCAGAGTTGTCCCGTAATACGACTATTGGACAAACATTTAACAAAGGAATTAGTTTACCGTTAATACGAATGCTGAACAACTTTTTACGTTTGTGGAAAGAATAACCCTCATGTGCAGAATTAAATAGCAACTTAGAAAAAAAAAACACACATCATTAGGATAGTACTCTTAATTTATGATAAAAACAACATCAAACGGTAAAATCCTCCTAACAATGTCCATACATAATTTGCTCTCTAATGATTCATCTAGGGCTGGCAATGGACAATGATTCATCTAGGGCTGGCAATGGACGCAGCACATTGTGGCATGAAGTATAGGGCTGCCGGCCTGACCCAGTCATGTTTAATTTTTTCTCATTTGTTTTTACCTCAGCCCTAGACCTGCTTGTTGCGGCCCTCAGATGAATCTGATATTCAACCATGAGATTATTTTAAAAAATAAAGGATCGCCGTAAAATTCTCTTGAAATTTTAAATTTGGATTTTGAGACTTGAACACAACTGCGACTATACTACTATACAAAAATTATGGGCCTTGAATTATTTGAATTGTTTGAATGCCCCGGCGGGAGCATAGAATCGATTAAATTGTTTTATAATTATCTAATCATTCCTCCTCCGACCCCATCCCTACCACCCAATCCTACAGCTACTCTAATTTTTCCATCACCATGTCCAATTAAATTGGTGACTCAAAAAGTGAACCCATTGCACTCAATCCAAGTCTTTGAAGTAAGACGCCGTTTGGATACTTGAACATATATGGTCTGTAAAATATATTATTGGTGTAATACATTGCTGCGTAATACATTATCTGTAAATGGATGGTTACCGTTTAGGTAATATTTAGACGCAACCTAGAAAATTTATTGTTTGGGTAATATTTAGATGCAAACTAGAAAATACATTACTACTCTTTGGTTATGTCTGGAAAAAATATATGGGAAATGCATTATCAATATTTTACCCTATAAGCTATCATTTCTTTTCTTTTTTTGGTCATAGAATTCCACTAAAATGTGGAATTAAAGTCATCATCGTACTATTCGAAAAAAATTTTCTAATAATAACATCATCACCATTTCAAAAAGATTTTCTAATAATAACTTGTATCATTCTAACGTCATAATGACACCATTTCTTACTTATCTTGCATGTCTGTGGCACTTACATGGAATCACATTTCTTCTAACATGATTAGACTTTGGTTTCAATATGATAAGTCATTGGAATAATATGATTAGAATAACAAGATTTTATTGTGATAAGCTTTATTTTTATTTATGTTTTGTAAAAGTTTTTCAAATGTCTCCCTATATAATTTTAAATAACCAATAAATTTATCATACCAGATTCATTCAACAGTTAATGGTTCCAATTAGTCAAGAATTATTTAGTCTTCTGTGACTAGAAATTCTTTTTTTATCCTTTTCAATCTAAAAATGAAGTCGTTAGGTGTTGTGATTGTGGTAGACAATCAATCGTAGAAAAAAATTTCAACTTGATCAATAAAATAAAATGTGCATTTTTGGAAAAGGATAAGGGAAAAGGGATTCAAGATCAAGATGAAATAAAATAAAAAATTATTCAATAATCTCCCCATCTTAAAAGTACAAGTTAAAAAATGAGAAGAAGTTTGATTAGTAAACTAGAAGTTTTCATAATAGGAGACTAAAGATGTATCTTATTTCAATTGAGGTTTTACTAATCATGTTGTGTGAAATTTTTTATTATGATTGTGTAGGGCTTACCAGCATTCTCCTGCTTCTCTCTTCATGTTAGCGGCAATGACTCTCTTGATTCTCTCTCTTCAGTTTAATAGCTCAAAGGAAAAAGTCTAGACCAGAAAGTGGCTTAAAGAGAGTAGAAACATCTTATACAAACCCAGTTATTATGGTTCAAGAGAGAGGGTGCGGGCTAATAAATAGAGAGAACTCTGCAAACCAAAGGTTTTCTAAAAATATTTTTTTAAACAGAAATAGGGTAGAGAGGGAGGCCTAGCCAAGATTACCTGTTATCCCTCAGCGACTAATGAGTTTGATGATTTTTGGGAAATCTTAGGTAATCACTCGTTATCTCATTCCATTTCTCTACTATTAAAATGTACCCAATAAAAATATCATATTTCCTTCTAATAGTGGCATGTAAAATTGTTTGAATCGTCTCATCCCAATCGGGTATTATAGTTATTGTTCTGGATCTGTTAATATATCGGAATCAGGCAGTGTCCCCAAGCACCAGCATGTTTGAGTCCGTCCATACCGATCATTTACCAAAGAACCAGTTCATTTGTAATAAATTCCGATCTGAATAGGGTATATGGTAATCGCTCCGTACCCCAATATATCTAGATCCATCTGTATGCGCCTAGAACTAGACACCAATATATCGAGATCTGATCGTAATCTCTAGAACCAGCCTATTCGAGCCAATAGTTATTTACGAAAGAGCCGGTTCATTCTTAATAGAGCGGATTTCTTCAACGATTCACTCATAAAAATTACTATTGTGGGGCACACCAATCTCACTTACATAGGCAAGTATTATAACAATTACCTATCCCTTTTACATATCATCATCGCATGTAAGCAAGTATTATAACAATTACCTATCCCTTTTACATATCTTCATCGCTTACCTTATTGGCAAGACCTTTTGCTATTGACGTGGAGTTCGCAAGAGTGACTTGCTCTCTCGTAATCTTTTGCTGTGGGATATGTCCAACCTCTACTTCAAAGCTACATCGGTGATTTAAACATATGAACAATTTAACAATGTAAAGATTTAAACATATGAACAATTTAATAATGTAAAGAAGGTCGTGTATAATTCAATCCTTGTTGCGGCAGTAAAGACTAAATCATAAATTATAAAAAAAGACAGAAAAAAGATGGATTAAAAAATTAATATGAAATTATAATGCGTACTTATGTTGGTCTAAATCATAATTACAAAGAAGAGAGAAAAAGATGGATTAAAAAATTAATATGAAATTATAATGCGTACTTACGTTGGTCTTTACCCACGGTTAAATCATAAATTACAAAAAAAAAAAAAAAAAACGTAAAGTAAAGAAGACGGTATACTAAAACTAAATAATTATTATTATTGGTAG